AATAAATGAGGATTAGTTAGATGTGAACCTGATTCTGTACAGTCGAAGATTTAAAGCTGTTAATGTCACTTACTGCCTGTTTTTTAATAAATGATTGTATTTTCAGTTTATCGAGGATTCTAAAATATATTTCAAAAATATTTATTGGACTTCGTGAATTCGCTTTTCAGAATGTTTGTAATTATGCACAAAGCTACACAATGGGCTATCTGTGCTCTGCTCACCACGGGTATCGAAACCCGGATTCTAGCGTTGTAACTCCGCAGACATACCGCTGTGCCGCTTTTCAGAAATGGATGTTTATATTTCTAAAGCGCTCAGGAAATTTAGTTTCTGAAATTGATGTATTGAATTCGGCGATTAATTTCTAAATCTTTGTATTGATAAATACTTCTCTTATTTTTCTCTAGCTTTGGCGTTTGTGTTATGGAGCTTTTGGGGCACGTACGATAAGAACGTTGCACGTGTTCTTCTCTCAGCCGTGGCTCTGTGTCACTTTTTGCAGTTAATAGGTAGGTAATGCTTTGTTCTAGAAATACAGTTATTTGTGTTAGTTTCTTCATGAGATGAATTTCAAATCAAATAATGTGATATGTAACGTATAGGTACGAAGAAAAACGATTTTTTTAGTTCTAAAACTTTTCATTATCTGCTTATCTGTGTCTGTTTATATCAATAAAACATTTCCTAAGTCACAAATTTGTTCTTATTTACTTTTACTAGTATCTATTTCAATTATCATAATGTATTATATCAGATGAAGCAATAATGTCGAACTTACAAATGTTGTCGGCGATTCCTACAATAATGTCGAACTTACAAGTATTGTTGGCGATTCCTACAATAATGTCGAACTTACAAATGTTGTCGGCGATTCCTACAATAATGTCGAACTTACAAATGTTGTCGGCGATTCCTACAATAATGTCGAACTTACAAATGTTGTCGGCGATTCCTACAATAATGTCGAACTTACAAATGTTGTCGGCGATTCCTACAATTTTTTATGCAGACACGTGATCAAAAGAAACGAAATGTGGATTATTTATTTGATTTGTATAAGGAGATACTTGACATCGAATCCGTGTTTTCGTTCACCTTCTACACTGACTCGAGAGTTCTGTACGAAAGACGAGAATTATGAGCAAAGAAGTATTACACGAACCATTCATTAATACCATACTCTGTCGTTGTTATTATTACATATTCCAATATAACTCTTTTTTTTTTTACTATTTATAATTTGTTTATTAACTTCTAGTGTAGGTTGTCTACATTGAAAATCCTTCTGAAAAATTGCTTTTGTAAAAAATAAAATCAAAACCATCTGTTGCCTTTCATTTATGTCAATGCTGATTTTCAATCACTAGCTTCTCTTTCATATTGCTGGAATCATCTTTCAGATGACACTGTTAGAATTCGTCCTTTATGTAGATAAGGCCAAAAACAATATATTTCTGGTGATAGCAACTCTTACGAAATGATGTAGTGTGCATTTAGTTATTATTTTTTAACACGAAACAAATAGACATTTCAGTAGTTAATAAGCTACACTACGGGATATTCGTGCCCACCACAGGGCTCTAACACCGATCTCTAGTGTTACTTACCAATGAGCCACCGCAGTGACCTAATCCTAAAAATTAGCGTTATAAGCCCTAAAGCTTGCTGCTGAACCATTGAAGGTTGTGTGTGTGTGTGTGTGAAGGGGAGATTCACCAATAGTATTGTCTATAAAACTTAATGTAATATTGACAGTATATCAGGTTTCAGTGTTCTTGGTTGTAATAAGTTTTCCTTTCTCTTCAATTTCTTTATTTTTGACACAAAACAGTCCATAGTATTGGATGTATGCAGACAACAGGAGCTCCAGTTAATACTTAAGATTGTCGATGTAAGTGTCCTCATGATGGCGACCACCAGGAAACAATTATTTAATTTTAAGCTGTTTCTTCTCATCAGTAATTAAATGTTTTATCTAAACATGGAGTCGAAGAAAAACATAAACTACAAATATTTGGGCTCTTTATCAGTTTACTGCTCAATGTATTTTGAAGCTAACTGTTCCGGGGTAATCTGATAAAGTAGTTTTAAAGGTTTCACTCTAATGCTTTCTTAACCAAATGTCTTAACTATCTAATTATTGATTTATAAAACTATAATGAAAACAGTTTATTCCATTGCAAATATCCTGCACTTCGAATAAAAATATTTTAATACATTTAGATTATACACTATTAAATACAAAATATGAGGCATAAGCCCTTAACTTGCAAGCATGTATTAATATATTTGACATAAACGATCAGACTTCGAAGTGCTAGTAGTTTTAAAGTGAAATTGATCACTGTAACGCTATCGTAGTTCCATCTACAGATTTATAAGGAAATTATTTATTTCCGAAAGAAAAATAAATACTTTATAATAAAAGCTTTATAATTTTATTTTTCCAAAGTCATAGCTAAATAAATTTGAAAAGTATGTGCTTACATGTATATAACATTATATATATATATATATATACACACACAGGCATACGTCTCTACAACTTACAGCGGAAATATGCACTCTGATTTTCTTACTAAGAAAACTATTTTCACTAAATTATTTCACGTGCGATGATGCAATCTAATGTTGGAGTACAAGTTGAACTACATACAATAAATCACCCTGTATAGAGAATAAATCTAGAAACACGTGAGCTGCAAATGGCATGAAAGATTATTTTCCGAGAAAATCGAAATTTGTTAGTTAAAACTAGCTGGATAAAAACAGTTCCAGAAGTCTCAGTAACATAAATTTTCTTCGGTATTTTCACTGTTTTTAAAGTTCGTTCTCGATTCTTTCGTTTGCTTAGACAAAATCTATGATATTGATCCTCTAGAATATTCCCTGACTTGCTCAAACTTGCCTACTGCTGTAGTAGTGCCATCCCTTTCTTATGCCCAATAAATAAACAGCCATTTGAAGAAAAATCACAAAAATTAAAATTCATTATTACTTACTTTTATTTGATATTGCTCTGGAGAGATACGCGTTATCCCATATTTTTGCGTAATTACAGATAGTGAAGTATTGTATATATATACTGTATATCGTATTTATTTAACCAGTTAAATGTAGTGGAAAGTTTTATGTATCGTGTATGTTTAACTAATCCAATGTAGACCAGTCCAGTCTAGTGGAACATTGTACGTATCCTGTATTTTTACCTTTGAGATTCTGTTTCACCCGTGCTTTTACATTTTGGTATGTTTATGTGATTAATGTGTATAAATATCCATTTCGGTTTTTTATGAAACACATTTGCCCATACTGGCAAAAAATTCAAAAACAAAACCAAAAACAGCTACGAACTGTAATTTCCATGAGCCTAACATATTCGGTTATAATAAACTATATATGTTTTGTCATATCCTTCTTCAGTTGTAGAACTATAGGTTTTTTTCCTAGTTTTGATGATTTTTATTAAAAAGTTGTTTTTATGAACATTTAAAAATACGATTTAATCCATTTTGTCCATGCAATATCAGTTAAATACATAAATTCCCCACTTTCGATTTACGAGAAAAAGGTAATATTTAGAGGCGCTGGCCCGAGCCCCGAATTTTTTTAGGTACCTAGCGACGCCTCTGGTAATATTTAACTCAAGTCTCTAGCTAAGCCAGTTTTCTTTCAATCTCTTTAACTATTTTGAAAACAAAATCAGATGACGTAATTATCTCACTCTGATGTGCGTCTGACACAACAAAACCAGATAATGTAATTATCTCATTCCGATGTACGTCTGACACAATAAAACCAGATAATGTAATTATCTCACTCTGATGTACGTCTGACACAACAAAACTAGATGATGTAATTATCTCACTCTGATGTACGTCTCACACAACAAAACCAGATGACGTAATTATCTCACTCTGATGTACGTCTAACACAACAAAACCAGATAATGTAATTATCTCATTCTGATGTGCGTCTGACACAACAAAACCAGATAATGTAATTATCTCATTCTGATGTGCGTCTGACACAACAAAACCAGATAATGTAATTATCTCATTCTGATGTGCGTCTGACACAACAAAACCAGATGATGTAATTATCTCACTCTGATGTGCGTCTGACACAACAAAACCAGATGACGTAATTATCTCACTCTGATGTGCGTCTGACACAACAAAACCAGATGATGTAATTATCTCACTCTGATGTGCGTCTGATAATGATAGTTCAAACAAAAGCCGATTTTGTGACAAAATATATTACCGTTATTGTTGAATTTCTGCAAGACTTTTATACAATGTGTTCATTTGTCGATTAGAATCCATTTCAGGTGTCCTCTATAAGCTATTGCTTGAATGTTTCAGCTATCATCCTACATACCTGGAATGAGGGAGAGCTGAGATTTCGACGCCTGTTAGCCCTAGTGGCCCGCTTGATGCTGGTGTCCCTGAATGGCTACTTCTACTGGGCTCTTGGCCGCAATCCCTTGGGAATCCGAAAGTCAGCTTCTTTCAAAGACCTGAGAGATGTAAATATCAGACCACCACCTAGCGACTCAAGCGGGCAGGTTACTTCAGTGTCTGCTGTTTCAATGGCCGTAGCTCTAGGTGGCGCTACTGACACAAACACCTCTTCTCTTGACACCAAGAAAACTGAGTAAAAACTCCAAAAACACTGACATATTCTTATATATCCGTTTACTTGAGTTAATTATCGTAACTGAGTTTTCTCGTTGCTAATGATGTGATTAATGTTAATTATCCCAAATAAATATTGGCTAAGAAGTGAAAAAATAAAATGTGAGATTGTGATACATATTACTGTTGTTTTAGAAACATGTTCAAATATAAGGTATATTAATAGAAATTCGCGTTTGTGGAAGCTATGATAACAGAATAGCTCGTGTTTACGTTGTTTTTGATGTTTATATATAACTCATCACATAACATAACTAAGCTTTTATTACTTTTCAGCACTAAAACCTGGGTAGATTATTATATAAAAAAAATTTCAGGATTTTATAAATCGATACACATAGTTTTTGTTCATTTATACATATTCCAATGGAGAGTCGTCTGGCTCTCTCGGTTTAATTTTTCATATGTTATTTAAAGCTACCGATAGGTGGTGCTACTTCAGAAGTCACTTGGTTAAAAAGAAGAAGTCGCGAACTTATCTAAAGTTGAAGTGTTAAATTTAAGCAAATGGTGTTTGCATATCGTAGCCCTATGCTCTGTAGGTAAGCTTTAAAATGCATACCTGTTTCGTAATATCAAAAATGCCAAAAAAAGCACGGTGTAATATCTTGTATCTGATAATTGCATGTTGAAAACCTTAATGTTTTGTGTCCTGTGTTCGATTTCGTATATATAAGTGACAGTTTTGGTGATGTTAAAATATGTGTTTCTATAAACGGAATATCTCTAGCTTACAAAAAGATATCGAACATTACAGGCGAAAGTATCATAATTTTAGTATTGTTTGCACATGTAAAAGCTTGAGCACAGTATGACGTATGTAGTTGATAACTAATTTGGCAAGTTTACCTAAACCAAATGGAGCTTCTAGCGTTGTTCATATTACATTTAGTATCCTCGTAAATCCTTGGCTAAAGATATGATAAACGTTTTTCTACGTCGATGGAAAACTCGGAAAGTCTGTATCATTATGACACTTTTAATATCTGTACCAAGCGACGTTGATAGTATTAACAAACTATTGTTATTCTCTCGCCTACGGTTTTAATGTTCAATTACAAAAGATCATGATAAGCTCCTGATAGCTGGTGTGATTTGTAAACTCCACTGTGTGTGTGGGATGTATAAAGATCCGTAAATAAAACGATGTACACATTTTATTACATGGAAAAGTGTATCTTGTTCATGTTTCAAATGCTTCCTTGGCTTAGAGAACATTTATACTGTTTAACTTTTTTCATCTTTTCCAAATAAAATCAGTTCTGAATTTAGTTATTCTGAAACTTACCATTGAAACTCACGTTGTATAACAATTTTAAATTTCTCTTCATGGGCGGAGGGACCAGGGGGCAAGTGCTTACGCCTGTTGGGAACAGTTTAATAACTGTTAATCATTTTAAGGCTGCCATACACTAGTGGCTGTACGTCCGTGTTTTACCATGTTTGTTCAAGGAATCTCTCCATTTGAAGTCTATAAATGCGACATTTTCATGGAATCGTGTCACCTGATCGCCATAGTATTACCACGTTCAGGTCTCACATGCACTTAAGCCCCCCATTCACACCACACCCAGATAGCTTTGCTTCTTCCGCCCGCAATACTGGCTAAATTATTTTAGATTAAATTAGATTAATTTAGATTAATTATTAAACCTTCAGCTTGTTATAATAGATTATATAGCTTGAAGACAAAAAAAAAAGGAAAATTAAAACGCAACAAATGAATCAACGTAATGAAAACAGTGTTTCGCAAATATCCATTATAACTTATGTTTTATTTTTCGATTTATTATTATTTTTTTGTTCTTCAAAAGGTTATTATAAATGATTTCAATTTAAACAAAAAAAAACAATGTATATTTCATATACTGCCACAAGATGGCACTAGTAAGCACAGTTGTGGCTCTCTATTGTACATTTTTATTATATTTTTATTATACTAATTATATTTAGTGTCTGAATATATTTGATGTATTTATTTTATGTATTGTTTGTCAATTACATAATAATACCTTGATGAAAAATACGTATTGAATCTTTATTTCTGTGGAAACGTTATTAAGAATGAAAAATTGCTTTGGCACATGTGCATTAATAATTAAATGAATTTTAAAAGCTTATAAATACTGCATATTTTTGTTCAAAATATACTGCGATCTGTAATCCATGTAATTATAGAGAATATCAAGGATTTGAATGACATTTTTTTACGTTATAAGAATTCCACCAGAACAAGTAACTAAACGGAATCACTCAGGCCTCGATTTTCCTTATAAACCCAACACTATTTCTATCATTATAAAAATTAGTAAAAGGGTTACACTACGAAAGGGAAAAAAACAAGTAATAATCTGTTATCGAAAGTATTTAATAACGCGTTAGGCCCGTCATGACCAGGTGATTAGGGCACTCGACTCGCAATCTGTGGGTCGCGGGTTCGAATCCCGTCACACCATACATGCTCGCCTTTTCAGCCGTGGGGGCGTTATAATGTGACGGCCAATCCCACTATTCGTTGGTAAAAGAGTAGCCCAAGAGATGGCATTGGATAGTGATGACTAGCTAGCTGCCTTCCCTCTAGTCTTACACTGCTAAATTAGGGACGGCGAGCGCAGATAGCCCTCGTGTAGCTTTGCGCGAAATTCAAAACAAACAATTTAATAACGCCATCTCGTTTATGAGCGCACACAAGATTGCTGTAAATTGCTATTTCCAATAAGTTTTAAAATATGCTCTCTACTCAAGTCTTCGGTGATTATATGCTATTTGGTTGTTTAAACATCTCTTTACCATTGTTCCAGCTATTTGGTTGTTTAAACATCTCTTTACCATTGTTCCAGCTATTTGGTTGTTTAAACATCTTTTTACCATTGTTCCAGCTATTTGGTTGTTTAAACATCTCTTTACCATTGTTCCAGCTATTTGGTTGTTTAAACATCTCTTTACCATTGTTCCAGCTATTTGGTTGTTTAAACATCCTTTATCACTGTTCTGGACCATACGGTTAGCATTGCCGTGAAAACGTTGTCTAGTATGCGAAACTAAAGAAAAGCTGAATATTACCTTAGTCGGCAGGTTAAGTTGCTGTGAAATATATATTCATCGTCTTTAACACATGTGAAAACAATCAAAAACTTTTATCTGAATAATATTAACTATCATTTTCCTTTCATTTTGCTCTTTTTTATCTGCTTTCATCGTTCCACACCGTCTATTCGAATACAGAAACCATCTTTTATACACTGTTATGGGTCGTCTTTATAAATTAGTAAAAAAATAAAATAAACAAATAAAAAGTTAATTAATCGCTTAATAAAGCCTGGAAACGTTTGAGAAAAAAATCTAAAGCTAATTTTTTCTAAGCTTTGATTATTATTATTCAGGGGTTGTTGTGGAACAATGGTAAATAGATGTTTAAACAACCAAATGGCTGGAACAATGGTAAAGGGATGTTTAAAACAACCAAATGGCTGGAACAATGGTAAAGGGA